TACAAGCCGGTGGTTTTTTTTTTGTTTTTTTTTATTAAATTTGGTGGGCCAGCCCGCCTAGCCCGCGGCCCATGGCGGGGGTGGGCCAGGTGGCCATTTAGAGGCCCGCCATCGGCCCGCCCTGCCTCGCCAAAAGGCGGGTTTTGGCGGGCTGCGGCCAGCCCACCCTGCCGGCCCGTTTTGACAAGTCTAGAGACAAATAGTAAAGCGATCTGCAATGAACCCGGCGAGATGGAGCTCCCTCTCGGTAATCCACTGAGTGGCGATCTTGGGTTCGTCAACCTGAACCCCAAAGTACTCGGCTACATCCTCAACTACATTCCCCAAGTTCGGGCGATGCCTTGTGTCCAGTCGTATTTCAAAGAGGGCATTCTTAAGGTATTGCTGCATGCTAACTGATTTATCTCACGATATCGACCAAAGGATGAAGACTTGCTGCTCACTCACCTTGTTTTATTCACGCTTCCTGAAGATCATGTGCGAGATATACTTGTGGATCACTGCATGTCCTACATTGGTGATTAAACCCAACGATGCACCGGTCTTTTTATACTTCTCGCATGGGGATAGGAGTGCCCAATGCGAGTCAACTTTAAACCCCGCGGGATTGTGGCATGTCCCCGTCTGAGACTTGAACTCATAAATGTCACGCAACACTTTATCTGTGATCTTGTACTCCTTACCCTTGATACGAGCAGTAAGGTACTTTCCGTTTTCATGCATGGCGACCGTGCTGAAGAACTCCAAGGTCAATGTTCAGAAGGAAAATAGATTGGCGTCCTCGAATTTTTCGAGGTCGAGAAACATCAAATGGCACTTGACATCATCTTTTTTAGGTCATCAAGGAGGTCCCAATCGCGAATGCGGGGAGGTGAGAATAGCTTTGAATCAAGGTGTTTAAACGCCGTGACCTCGTCCATTGAAAGAACTTCGAAAGGGATGTCGTGTTGTTGGGCTAAAGATGGAGTCTCGGTCATCGGGTCGGGATTGGAGCTCGTAGTGGCCACCGCTTTGGACTTTGAGGTCGAGGGAGCCTTTTTCTTCGAATTAGCCCCAGTTTTGACCATGATTGATTCTAAATACAGTTGAATAATCGATAGCATATCACTTAAAATCAAGTGGGGCAATGTATCGAACAGTTGGTGTGCGGGGTTTGGCCTTGAGAGCTTTTGGATAATATGGAGTCGTTCGGTCCCGGAGTAGGCCTCCTCACGCCACACAACTCAACAATTTGCAATTTGTTGAAGTTAGTCGTACCTTTGGAGCGAAATTCGGCCCGAGATGACGAATTTACCACGAACTAGAGGTTTTTGGTGGATTGTCAATTTGAAGAACGGATAGCCAAAAGTTAGAAAAGTCATGCGTCGACGGAAGTTTACTAGTTGGGGGTGGTCGCTGGAAGTAAGTAGATGGCTTGAGGTGGTCGCCGGAGGGACGTGGTCGGAGATGAGTGATGAGATACGGGCTAGGGTTTGGGGAGTTTTTGTTCAGTTGACAATGGATGGTTGATCGGGGGTTCGTGGTCGGAGAGTGACGCCGGAGGTGGTGAGTCGCCGGAGGTGGACGGTCGGAGATAAGGGATGAGAGATGTCGGGTGCGGGGTTTAGGCTTTTCTGAAAGATGAATTTGTTCGAATAAAACGAGCTTCTCTCTTTCCCGATTTTTCTTTTTTATTAGGTCCCAGGGGTTAGTGCTGCTAATCCCTTAGCGGCGCTAAGCGGAAATGAGTTGGGAAGCTCTGGCATCGCTAAGGTCCCGCTAACATGGATAGCACCGCTAGCCAAGCCGGCCTTTGGCGCTAAGCCCTTAGCAGCGCTAGGGTCTGCAGTGCAAACTTTTTTGATGTCGTTAGTGCCCCATTAGTAAGTTTACCGCCGCTAGACCTGCACTCCTTAGCGGCGCTAGGCATGCCTAGCACCGCTAGTACCTGCCAACATCCAAAAAAAATGAAACTTATATATATATAATAAATGCAAGAAGTACAAAGGTGCTCGGTTTATAGCCGGGAGCTCGTCACACTCGTGATCAGTCATACAATGGTTTGCCGAGACTCACCGTCTCGACATGTCGGCTTCCAAACTCTCCATCAAAATATGGCTTAACTCTTTGAACCTTCACCACAAATAAGTCGCCATTAGTTGGATTACGCAATCAGACTGCTCTGAGAGATAAAATCTTGTCAATGAGGTAGGGCCCGCTCCATCAAGACTTGAGCTTTCCCGAAAACAAACTATGTTGGGAGTTGAATAAGAGGACCTTCGTGCCGGGCACGAGGTTTTTCTGGATAATCGTAGCATCGTGAAGCCTTTTCACCTTGTCCTTGTAGATTTTTTAGTTCTCGTAGGCTTCGTTCCTCAATTCTTCGAGTCCGGAGAGTTGCAACATCAGCTCTCTTCCGACGACATCGAGATCAAAATTCCTCTTTTTAATCGCCCAGAACGCCTTGTGCTCGATCTCGACTGGGAGGTGGCACGCCTTTTCGTAGACGAGTCAGAACGGGCTGATCCCCAAAACTACCTTGTAAGATGTACGTTAAGCCCATAGTGCATCGTCGAGCCGACTCGACCAATGCTTCCTGGACTGTTGGGTTTTATTAGGAACGTCAGCGATGTGCACATTCAAATCTATTGAATAATAAATCCTAACGCAGCAAAATCTATAGTTAGGATTAGGACTGGTTTAAAAATTTTTGCCGACTCTGAGACGTTTCTGATTTCTGTTGATGGAGATCGTCTAAAAACCAGAGTCCGATGGGCTACCGGATCTGGCCTTTCTTGATTCTAATCGAGTCATTGGTGCTCCGGTTGCTCGTCGGGCTCATTGATCGTCTCTGACCTTCGGTGTGTGAACAGGACTTCTCAGATCGCTCGAAAACCATCTTGGTCATGAACCGGGCTAACTGGGTTGGAGTAAACTGGGTCGGACTGGTCTGGATGGGTTGGGTCGGGTGTGGACCAGACTGGGCTGGTTCAGGTCGGGTGTGGTCGTTCTGGGCCGGACTGGGCTCGCTGGCGCTGGGCCTAGGTCGCTGGTCCTTGACTTGTCACTACTGGGCTGCGGGCTGCACGGTGCTGGGCTGGGTCGTCGTGCGCGTGCAGTGCAGCGCTCCTACTCTTGCGTGGACAGGGAGGCATCGATTGACACAGACGTGCGGGGCACGTTGCCTACTTGTGCAAAGACTAGGCGAGCGCGAACTTCAGACGACGAGCAGGGCATGTGGCCTACACCTGCGAAGACTAAGCATGCGCGTCTCGGGCAGAGCGGGGTCGCCGTGTTGCACATGGGCTGGGCGCCTGTCTGCGCGGTCATGCGGGGGCGACGCTGAGACGGCGCTTGCGGGCATGTGGGTTGCCGGCAGCTGGTCGCCGGAAGGCTCCTGTTCCTCCGGTGGTCGTCCTCTCCTATTTTGGTGGCCATCGGAGATGCTGCGGGTTGAATGTATCCGACAGGATGAACGTATTTATACATTCGACGGGATCCGAATTAATAACCTTCGAATTTTCAATTGTATGACCTTTACACGATCTGCAATAAATCTTGGTGGAGCAATTTATTAGATTTCCTAAAGCCTCTCAATCTTCTTTTTCTAAGACCTCTCGATTTTATCTGAATTTTCTCTCAAAGAAGAAACTCTCTTTTTCTCCACAATTTTGGCCGTGCGATCAGCCTTGGGGCATGTGAAAAACGTGAGATACATCATCGTACGAGGCTAAGGGATCTAGTGTATTTATAGCCTACAACAGGGACCCAAAGGAGGTGCTAAATTCCCATTAGGCTAAGGAATCCTAATTCTACTCCATATACTTTCCAAATCTCGGATAGAATTCCTCTTACTACTAATTGCCTTCTAGAAGACTCTTTAGTCTTCTAACCCTAGGTAATATTCTAGAAGGAATATTCCTCTCCTAATGGAATATTAGTTATGGAATAAAATTAATTCCTTAATCTAAATAGAATTAAATAATAAAACATTCCACTCGAGTAATATTATTGCTCGATTCCCAACCCCTTTATTAGTAGCCGAAGTATAGGCCAGGGATTTAGCTCTGAATTATAATTAATTCGTCTTCACTTGATTAATTAGTATTAATCTAATTGACCGATTTACCTCCCTATGTTTAAGATATAACGTCCGTTGATTAATTAAATTACTGACAAAATAATTTATCAACTTCTTATTTCATTTCCGAAACTAGTACCACTCAGATCATTAATCATTATGTCGGAACACATTCGCCTGCAGGGCTTGACATAATATTCCTTCCTGAGCTCATTTCGGGGAAGTCATCAACTCTGCGCACTGGGACATAGTGACCGTAAATAATTTATAACAGCACATCATATAAACACTCTCAGTTACCAAAGTACCAAGTATGTCATCCTAACAGAATAGGAATCACTCTTAATAAATCAAATAAACAAGTAATGAACACATATGCCCGTTTTATATTATCTTACAGCTTTAGAGAATGCATCAATAACTGAAGGTCTAGATTATAACAACGATCAGTGAGTCTCATAATCTTATCCTTCTGTGGTCCTGTTCCATATTCATCATAAGTACTAGTGTAGTTCTCCAGCCAAAGATAAACTGAATCAAGAATACACTTCAGTCTTTTTCCAAGAGGGGACTCACTGTCTGTCTAGACTGTGAACGAATAGTTTAGTCTTACAAGGAACCGATATATGACCTTTCTGTTCGAGACACCACGAACCACACTATCTCAATGTAAGACAAGGAGTATGATTCCATAAATAAATAAACTTCAAGCATATGTACTTTGACCGAAACATGATTGCTAGATCAAAATGGAATTGATAGAATATGCAAAACGGAGCTTTTACAGCATACCTCTAACAATCTCCCACTTACGCTTAATAAGCCATGGCATTTACTAACCACGATTTTCTTTTAATCTAATTCTGAAAGAACTGTTGTCCTTTCTACCATACATCCGACTCCCAATCCTTTAACATGGCCATCATCCCCTTTCGCCGAAAAGCCAATCCTAAAAGGATTCACTTGGTTGTCTACCGATGTAACTAAGCGACAAACATCCAACCTGTCGCAGTCCTTTGCAACGGGCATACTTGCTCTATGTGTCACTTGGTTTATGAACTAGTGATTCCTCTCTATCTTAATTGCACCAACTGTCATCACAATCAATTGTGACCGGACTTGGTCTGACAAGGTTTCACATTTTTAGTTCAATGGCGAATCCAATCTCTACGTCGCTCGACCTTTGGGAAGAGACGTACCGAGCTTCTTATGGTGGAGTTTGTCAACGTATTACCGCTTGACATTTCTCCATTCTGCTTGGCTCCCACAAGTGAACACAAACCATAAAGTGGTTTTTACTTATTGTTCGTGTCTGATTAGAAATCAGAATCCTTTGTAATCCATAGATTGCATATGGTTCGTTTGGTAACCCTACATGTTATCCTTACCCCAGTTACGGCACTTGATCATATGTTCTACCACGATCCATTGCTTCCATCTAGGATTACTTCGATATTTATTAACTTTGCCATTGGAAATAAACATCATGCCTCATTTATTGCATATACTAGGCTTCCTATTGCCATGCATAAGGACTATATTTGTATCATGCAAACTCCGGATGAGCCTTACGAAAGTATCTGGACATGAAATTCGGGATAATCGCAACATTATCTTTCTTGTGATCCTCAATCTCAAAAACATTTGTTTATTCTGAATCCTT